GGAGGCTGAGGCAGGAGTTTGCCTCAGGTTAAAGGGCAGCCTGGTCTACACAGTATAACCCTGTCTCACAAAACAAAATACAGAATGACAGTTTTTAGGAGAGAAACCTTTTCTGGCTCTCAGGCCATGGAAAATATGTCATGTGAATCTTAATGTTATGATGCTGAAAAAAGCATAGAACAGAAAGTTTGCAGGTGGTGAAAAATGTGCACAGGGCTCTTGTGTTGACAGCATTAAATATAACTCAGCAAAAACATTTTGGTGGAAACTAAGCCAATAATGTGGTACTTCTGCTGATCTAACTATGCAGAGTTAGTTGATTCTTATGTATCTTATTCATGATTGTGTGTGCTTGTGATGTGTGTATGACTGCAGGCATGCGCATGCCATAGAGTGCATGTGGAGGCCAGGACACTTTAGGAGTCGATTTTCTCCTTGTTGGGGCAGGGTTCTGCATGCTAGTCCAGGCTACCTGGCCTGTGATTGGGTTTTTGGGTGATACTCCTGTCTTCCCCTCCCATCTCTCCCTAGGAGTGCTGGGATTACAGGTGTAGGCCATCACATCTGGCTTTTTTACATGGGTTCCAGGGATCAAATTCAGATCATCACGCTTGCCTCGCAAGGACTTTTACCTGCTAAGCCTTCTCTGACTCTATTAGGATTAATTAAAAAAATTTTTTTTTCAGTGATGGGTGGCATTTTCTTTTTTAAGGATTACTTATATTTATTTTATGTATATGAATTGTTTGCCTGCTTGTAAATATGTGCACCACATGTGTGCAGTCCCCACTGAGACCAGAAGAGGACATCAGATCCTCTAGAACTGGAATTACAGGCTCTTGGGAGCCACCATATGGGTCTGGGAACTGAACCTGGGAACTCTTAACCATTGAGCCATCTCTCCACCCTCCCACCCCTCAATACGGGTTAGTTTTAAAAGCACAGAGGAAGCCAGGAACCATAGTCCCTGCTGCGAGTCCTAGCTAGGAGACCAAGGCAAGGCAAGAGGATTGTTTTAGTCTAGGGATTTGGGCCATGCTGGGCAACATGACAAGACACTGTCTCAAGCACTGGCTCCTCTTGCAGAGGACCCAGGTTCAGTTCTCAGCACCCATATGGCAGCTAATAACTGTTCCATTTCCAGGGGATCCATCTCCCTCTTCTGACCTCTGCAGGCACTGCATAGCATGGGTATACTTATTACATACAAGCAAACACTCATGTACATCGAATTTTAAAAATTCAAAAGAAGAGAGTTGGGCGTGGTGGTGCACACCTTTAATCCCAGCACTTTGGGGGCAGAGGCAGGCAGATCTCTGTGAGTTCAAGGCCAGCCTGGTCTACATAGTTCCAGGCCAGCTGGGGCTACAGGGAGAACCTGTCTCGAAAGAAAAGAAAAGAGGATAGTATGTGGTTAGTATAAAGTTGATTATTTTGAAGCAAGTTTTTTCTTATATGTGCTTAGATAGGGTTGAAGCAGCCTCTCATATTGACTTCTGCTCAGTACTTGGAATGGAGGCATGCTGTATCTGATGGAGAGTATGGGCCTCAGGTGAGCTGGACTGTTTGTTAAAGTTCCACTTTATCTTAGACATAGCTCCAGGGAGACGTGTGGGTAGGGCCATAAACGCTTCTTTGTTGCTGGGGTTTTTTTTTTTTTTTGAGAGACAGCCTCATGCATCCCATGTTGGTCTCCAACTCTATATAGTCAAGACCAGCTAAGCTATATTTCTAGCTCCTGTTTTGTTTTGCTTTTGACCTTGAGCCCTGACCCTTCTGTTTCTACCTCCCAAGTTCAAGGATTGAAGGCTTGGGCCTGGCCCCAAGTCTATGGTAAACGTTTCTTAATCAGGTTTTGGTCTAATGTAGTTGAGTAGTTTACTTTCTTACTGAGAAACTTTCTCTTGTGCAATAATATGGCCTTGAATTTTTAAAAGTATCTTTACCCAAATTAAGACTACAAAGAGCATCCTTAAAGCCTGTGTTCAATATCAAGAGAACTTTTTTGATATTTTGGAATTGTCCTTTGATGAATCCTAAAATCCTTTTATCTTTAAGTGGGTACCAGTTGTTATTTGATCGATTTCTTTCTGTTTTTCAGTGCTTATGTATTCTTTGAGTTGGAGATCTTGTGCTCTTCCCTCCAGCTTCTATTTCACTGCTTCAGCCTCCTGTAGTAGCTGGTGACAAGTACATACCACTGCATGTCCAGCTAGTACCACGTTTCTCTCTTTTTTTGACAGGATTTCACTGTGTAGTCTTATCTGGCCTCTGAATCCCAGAGATCTGCTTTCCCCTGCCTCCAGGGTGCTGAGATTAATATCATGCCCACCCAAAATTTATTTATTTATTATTTATTTATTTATTTTATGTGTATGAGTGTTTTTGCCTGTGTGTATGTATGTGCACCTGTGTGTGCAGTGCCTGTGGAGGCCAACAGAAGGCATTGGATTCCCTTGAACTGGAGTTATGAACAGTTGTTAACCACCATGTGGGTTCTGCAAACCAAACCTAGATCCCTGAAAGAGCGGCTACTGCTCTTAACCACCGAGCCATCTTCTCAGCCCCATAGGAATGTTCTTATGTTGTTATTCTTTCTGTATTTATTAGTTGGCATTTTTAAAATTTGTTTTGCTTTTGTGAGACAGAGTCTCTTGTAGCCTAAGCTGACCTTGGACTTACTGTGTAGCTGAGGATGAGCACCTGCTTTTCCTGGCTCCATCTCCCAAGTATTGGGATTGGAGTTTTTTTTTAAGAACATTTTTGGGGTCTT